TTTATTGCTATGCCCAAAGATTAATGTATCTCCCAACTCTCACCATAGAAGCTTTCTTATGCAGTAGATGGTGATTAACACTGACCCACAACTGGCCAATGTGCAGAGAATAACAGACTGCAGAACTCTTATCCATGAATAGAACACCAATATCAAATTTCTGCCTCCCAAGGCTCAGAGATCATTGCAGAAGAAGGGTGGAAAGAATGTAAGAGCCAGAGGTGGTGAAGAACTACAAGAGAAAAGAGTTTTCTAGACAGTTGGACAGTTATTCATAAGAACTCACAGCAATAATGACAGTATGCACAAGTCCCACATAAGCACAAGCCAAACAAAATACCAGCATAGGTGTGGGGGTGAGTAAAAAACCCCAACTCTACATGAGGACCTATTGCCCATAGACAGCTGCTGGGAGGGGGAGAGTCAATTCCATTTAAGAGTGAGACTCTTGGTAGGTTAACCAGAATCCAGTGGATGGACCCACATTGAGAGTATTTAGGGACACAAATTTGACTCTATAGGCCTTAATATATAAACAACAGAGTGCATGAAATTGGGTAGGGATTAGCGAGCAGGTGCACATAAGGGGGGAATTGAAATATGATCATAATGTATTTATGAAATTCACAAAAATTCAATAATAAAAGAAGTCTACCCTATTAAAAATATAAATCATTCTAAAAATAAAAGTAACTGAGTCTTTTGAATTATAACTTTCACATACATCCAACCTATCCTTCTTGGACAAGTCTATCAAATATTTAAGCAGAAAAAGAAGATCAGTGTCAAAACAAATTATTTCATAAAATTCAGGAGCAAATGTAGCTCTCAGCCGCTTTCATGAAGTCATTCTCGATTTAAATGTGCTTTTTACATTAGAAAACCAATACTCATAATGAAAACAGAATATAAAAATGACTACCTAAATATGGGCAAAAAGTCTAAACAAGTTAATACGAAAATAACTCATCTTCATCTGTACTTTACATAAGAATGAAAGATTGCTTTAGCATTTCACGAATAACCATGTTAACCATATTTTAAAAACATGTAAATAAAATCATGTGACCATCCCAGTACATTGAACAAAATGAAACCAACTAAATGTATTTGGCTAAAAATCTTCATCTGACTTCACTGTGAGTGGTGAACATTTGGAACAGTTTAAGGAATTCTACCTCCACTATGAACTATGTTTACATACTTGGCATAATAAGGTGAATAGGCGAGGATGAAAATGGAAGGAAGTTAAAAACGTTCTGTTCACAAGTAAGATTGTTTAAGATTCCAACGAGGACGCGAAAGTGGCATCACGCTAGAAAAAAATGAGAGTGTTACACTCTCACACTGCTCTAAGTAGCAGGGGAAGTTTGCAATATCTTACGTCTAAGGAAGCAAAAGGACTCTCCTACCCTTTATTTTCTAAAATGCAATGTGCTCTAAGATTTTAAAGTAAATTTAGTAATAGTAGTTGCCATGGCTACTTGAACTTCACCACTAGGAACAAATTTACAAGGAAAAATAGTATTGTCTTTCAATCAGCTATGAACTGGTCATAGGCCAGAGTGTTGGACAAAATAAATCTTTGGGTTTCTGTTCTACCAATTCCCTTTACCAGAATTTTTTTGTCACCCAGATTCCAATTGGTCTCAGATCTAACAGGTTCTAAAAGTAACCCATGGTTTCCTCTTTGTTTTGGTTTCCATTACTTAGAAACAACTTTTCATGAGGTATCTATATGCATTCTGACTGTGCAATTTCCAGAAAATTGAATCTTTCTTCTACACAGAGGGGGCAAGTCTCAGATACACACAATGGCCCTCTGGGGACCAGGTGAATGCATCAACCTGGGATCAGCTCAGATCTAAGAAGAGCTAAGAAAAGGAACGGCTGGAGGCAGATGATGGAAGATGCTTAGCTGTTAATGGTTTTACCAATCTAAAATGTATCAGACCTCTTGCAGCTAGCAGTTAGTATCTGTGTTTCTTGTCCATGTGTTTGGACCTCTATTAACCTAAATATTCCTAACTGAGGCAAAATTTAAGAGATACCTAACAATGATATGATCCTAATTTTTGTGTCTTAGTAATTAATATTCTTCTAGAGTAACCCCATCTTCTTTCTCTGGACACAGAACTTTTGTTTTATCAACAGTATGTGAAGTGGACTATATACATGTCTAGAGATGGGGTCTAGAGATGGGATCAAATTTAAAAGTATAAGAGATACTGGGGTAATTTTATACCATCTTTTCTTTGCATACTGGGAAGACTTTAGCCATATACTATTGTCAATAACAAGCAATTCCAAGATGAGAACAAGATTTTAAATATCCCCTTTCAATCAATTTTTGCCTGTTATCTAGTTATAACATTATTCACTAATTATTTAAATTAAGAAGAGATAGTTGCTTTGGAAATCTCTCGTTCTCTCTCTCTGTCGTGTGTGTGTGTGTGTGTGTGTGTCTGTGTCTATGTCTGTGTGTGCCCCTGTGTACAAACAGGTGTGTAGTTTGAATAGAACACCTGAATGGGAATGAAGAGAAAGTCCTGATAGGAGCGTCCTGCTTTGGTAGCTCTGTTATCCAATTCCATCCCTGGAATCCGGTCTTTCTGTACTGGTTATATTAATGACCTTAAAGTCTTACATTTCTATTTCTTGTTTCCTGTGTTGTACCACAGCATCACATAGGAAATGTTTGTATTCTTCTATGCAAAGACCAGGTATGCATGTTTTTTAAGAAAATCTGATCATTAAAACAAAACAAAAACCATGTAACACAAAACACATGCTTTTTCCTATTAAAGAGTCCATTTTAAACGCTTTTTGGAAAACTAGTTTTGCAATTCATGCTTTTCCCATAAATCTAAGACTCTGAAGAGGATATGATTGTTTCTCATATAAGAGAGTCAGATAAGTAAAAGTAGGTGGAGTTAACTGGCTTTGCTTGGGTGTGCACTTGCCTGAGGGCTCTTTTTTTCTTGGAAGAGTGATCCTTCTACTTATATCAACATACAATCTTATGGACCTGCTGTGCAAAGCCATTCTGTAGAAAATATATCTTCTATGAATTTTCAGTGATTATTTATCCATAGTTCCGTGTGTCCCAACTAGTTCCTGCCTGTTCTACCAGGATTCCCCTACCAGAAACTGAGTGCTCACAATTTCCATTCTTTCGAGTGTCTTTCCTATGCAAATGAAATGATATTATTATTTTGTTTATAGTGAGGTAAGTAGAGCATCGAGCATTGAATGGTATTTTATATTTACAAATTCATATACCACAATTTTAGATATTCTACTATCTAGAAGTCAGTTATGGTTACTACATTATTGTCTATTATGTTGAGAACAGAGCTATTGCTATCAGATTATCAGGTGCCTTGTAAATAATGATCTTATATAATTTTTTTGCAGCTCTTTTACAATTTGCCTCTAGCAGTTAGTGTTGCCTTATTAAAATATTATTTATTTATCAGTAGTCATGTTTTAGGAATTCTCCCTTCTACTACCAAGCTCATTTCATATAGGCATCCAAAGGAGTTTTGTTACATAAAACTTCTTAATAATAAACTCCCCATCTGTCTGTTTTCTTGTTCATATTCTCATGGTGTCTGTGGCTACAGAAGCTCAGGTAAAAAGATTTCTCTTCATCAACTAATAAAATAATTTATTTATGACCTTGAAGAATTTCAGTTTGTACATACATATCTGTTACAATGAACCATTTTATTTTTACCTGTAATTTTACCAGAGTGGTAATACCAAAGTATTTTCAAAGAAAAATATTTTTTAAAAAAATTGAGAATCACATTCCTATTAAATAAGTGTATTTATCTATGATACAATCATAAAGAAGGTGAAATGAAGAACGTATAAATTTTATGCTTATAGAATATAAATGAATGAAAATAAAAATTTTAATGAGAAAAACTTAAGAGCCAAGAGGGTAGGTATGGTGGCTTTAAGTTTTAAATTTATATTTGCAAAAGAAAGATAATTAGCACATTTTGAAAAAAGCAGAACTTTGGGAAATATTTTAGGTAGAAAAGCACAGCAGTTTCAGAATTTTAATTGCAATTGATAGCAATAAAATGAGTAAAATGAAGTAAGTTATATTGCGAACCACTATGAACATCAGAAGCCTGCTGCTTCTCAGTACCAGAGGCACATGGGTATAATAGGTATATTTAAAACCAGAAGCTTTGTAACATACTATCTCTTCTGTCTTAACTTATGGTCCATTTTTCCTTTATTGACCTCTCATCTGTGTTCTCAACTCATGTTCTCCTCCAGGATCTGTGAATATATAGATTATCTCCTACCTCATTCTGCTATTTCAAGAACTAGAATTAGGTGAGGAAGTCAAACATAATTAGCTATTACTGCTAAACTCATCTCTTCCCCACTGTATACAAAGAGCTATATAACTGACAGATTGGTAGTTCATCCAATATTATTGAATTACCCAAATTCCTCACTCCAGCATCTAAAAGTCACTTCCAAAGTTGTGAGTGAAAGCATTTTATACATTAAACTAGAGAATTTGGGAAAAGTAGGCAAAGCTGCCATTTGGAAAAAAATTGAATTTTGAAGTAATTGCATAGAGTAATGGGATTGACAATGTATAATATGACTTTGTCACAGAGAAGTTTCTGATCCGGAATGTACATGGAGCTTAGAGACAGAGATTGGCAGAGGCAAGTTCACAGTCTTTGATGCCAGCTTAGGTGACTCTGGAGACTCAGAGAATCAATGCAATTACATCAATAATTTTCATTTATACAATGCCCAAGGATGAATATTATCTCATATTTCCCATCTACAAATGACATTGACTTTGGAAAAAGATAACCACGAGTCTCATTTTGATAAAACTGAATGGATGCCCAAAGATTGAAAGTCGCCTGGTCACTCTTCTAGGCACAGTCATAACTTTATGATAAGAAATGTGAGCATGTTCTTCTCTTTCCTTCATCACATTTTTGTAACTAGGTGTTATGATCAGTGATGAGTAGAGGATTTATAAGCCTCATGGAATACACCAACTTGTCATATCTGAACCCAAGGACAGTCATTCTGATTGGCATCCCTGGACTAGAAAACGTGCAGTTTTGGATCGGCTTTCCCTTCTTTTTTGTGTGTCTGGTGGCTTTGCTGGGAAACATCTTCCTGCTAATCATCATCCCTACCGAGCGCAGTCTACACCAACCCATGTATATTTTCCTGGCAGTACTGGCGGCTACTGACCTTGGTCTCTGCATAGCTATTGCTCCTAAGATGTTGGCCGTCTTCTGGTTTGGTTCATGCTCCATGGCATTTGATGCTTGCCTCACTCAGCTCTTCTTCATTCATGCCTTGCAGGGAATGGAATCTGGCATCCTGCTGGCCATGGCCTTTGATCGCTATGTGGCCATCTGTGATCCTCTGAGACACACATCCATCCTCACATCTTTCTTTCTATTTCGAGTGGTTCTAATGGTGGCAATTCGGGCCACTGTGCTTGTTGGTGTTTTACCCATTCTACTCAAGCGACTGCAATGGTTCCACTCTGTGGTTATTGTCCATTCTTACTGTGAGCACATGGCTGTAGTCAAACTGGTGGCAGAAGATGTCCATATTAACAAATCATATGGGCTCTTTGTGGCTTTCGCAATTCTGGGATTTGATATGATATTTGTTTTCATCTCCTACATTATGATTTTCCAAGCTGTTTTTCGCCTTTCCCAGAAAGAGGCACGAAGCAAAGCATTCAACACTTGCACAGCTCATATTGTTGTTTTCCTGGAGTTTTATATCCTTGCTTTTTTTTCCTTTTTCAGTCACCGTTTTGGCCATGTATCACCCTATGCCCACATCCTATTGTCTACCATCTATCTGCTTCTCCCCCCTGCCCTTAACCCCATTGTCTATGGTGCAAAAACCAAGGAGATTCGCAGACGGGTTGCTCAAGTTTTTATTCTGAACCCTAATACCCAACAATGATCTGAAAAGCATTGTGTCAGAAGAAAACCGTACAATTGTCTTTATAGGGTTTAAACTCCTTGTAGCATGTACGTCTGTTTTTGTGATGTTTTTACAATACAGTGATCTTCCATGAAGACCTTATATTCCCAAGACAAAATCAGCTTGAACATGAAATAAACATGACATGCATCTCAGGTATTCCTGTGATCCCTCTATACCTTTTTCCTCCCCTTTGCTTTCTTTCTTCCAACTTTATATCTTTTTTCCTTCCATCCTATCCACCCATCTGTGTTTTCTGTAATACAAAAGATAGCTTATTCTTTGGATGTGAAACAATGATAGAAATAAGTTCTGTGATTCTATAGTGATTATGTAAATATTGAACAATTTTAATTTAAGACTAATGATGATATGGTAAGGTAAAATATATTCAGCTTCTCATACAGAAGCAATTTATCTCTATTTTTAAAGAAATTATAGATCATGTGGAAGATATCATGGCAAATGTGTGATTTCAATGTTGAACCTTGCATCAGATAATGAAGTGTTTATACGTAATATCAATTAGCTGTGCAAATGTGTGTGATTCTGACTTCCTTGAGATTGCAAATGATGAAAATCAAACTTCCCTAGGACTTCATCAGTTGTCAAAGCACATAAACCATCTGCAGCAGGAGATTATCTACTAATATCCCTACCATCTGGTACTTGGCTTTGTTTAATTGTAAAAGTACTGCTATTTTACTAGCGAGGTTAACACTGAAACTATTTAGACCAACATTGTTTTTGGTTAACATCTATCACATGAACTTGTTTGTTTCTGCCAGTGTGTGGATCACATGGACGGAATTCAGGTTGTCAGGCTAGAAGCAAGGGCCTTCCTCTGCTGGGCCATTTCAATGTCCTGAAGATCAGCATTGTTTTTGAAATCTCTGTCATGTTGAAATTCACAATAAACCTACTTCTTTTTCAAATGGCCTTAAGAGATAATTGGAAGAGTTTTGAGATTCCTGCTATTAAACTGAGTGAGTACCATGAGGAAGAAGGTGTATGTTTGTCTTCTCTCCAGTCCTTCCTTACCTCTGTGGACCTAAACAACTTACAAGCAAAGGAAGGAAAACAGACACATTGGCATTTACCTTTTCCCCTGGTCTCATTAGTCCTTAACTGCAGGGCCTCTATGAACTGAGATTCCATGTCCCATCATGACTAGTATCATATAAACAATAATAATATTAACACACTAGTCTCTTCATTTGCTATTTTGAATTTTCCTTCCTCTCGGTGGTCAAATTAATTACTCACTATATTTAGAGGAGGAAAGAAAGATCAATATTTATGAGATGATAGTTCCAGTCTAAAAATAGATCACTAACATAAAGATATCTTATCAAAAGCCAACAAGAGCAGAAAATAGAGTATCAACTGTATATCTGCAAGTTATTCTAAGAAGCATTGTGTTAAGAGGGGGAAAGGAAGACTAAGAAAGGGAGAAAGTCAGTAAGATGTTCTCTACTGAGCAATTCCCATTGTGGATCATCAGAACTATCTTCTGCTTGGGATACTTTGAAATAGTTTAAGAAACACAATTCAAAATTCCCTAGCAATTGCAAGGTATTTATCCAGTGATTCTTATATCTCTTCATAGATGGTAACACCTAAATGCATTTCCAATACTCCTTACACATAGGATTTATGAGTAAATATTACTCATGGAACCAGAAAAGGTTCTTGCAGAAAAAGGTGTGTGAATCCTCTGGCATGAACAGAGACTGTTTATAGACAACTTCTGGAGCACCTAAGGCGACTCTTCAACAGTGCCTCTAAAAATGTATCATGGGGAAAACAAAAACTGTATGGGTGGTCGGAGGCTTATCCTCCTATTTCCTTCACATTACAGAGGATGATAATGTGCTGAAAACTCTAGGGTTCATGACAGACTTTGTTCATGTACTGAGAAATCTCTAAATTTGTGGCAAGAAATCAAATGATTTATCTATTTAAAAGTGAAAAGGGGGACTGGAGAGATGGCTTAGCAGTTAAGAGCACTGGCTGCTCTCGCAGAAAACCAGGGTTCATTTCTCAGCACCTATGTTGTACCTAACAACCATCTGCAACTCCAGTTCCTGGGGAATCTGATGCGCTCTTCTGGCCTCTGTGAGCATTGTACAACATGTGTGCACTTACATACATGCAGGCAATACATTCATACTAAAAATAATAAATAAAATATTAAAAAATAAATCAGTTGGTTCATCCAATAACAGTTATGCCACTTTTGCACTAGAGGGCTGATCTTGCTTGGCAGGTTATTATTGTAGCTCATAGGATTTACAAGCTGGGGAAAAATGTTGATAACTTTTCCCTTCCAGCAGACTGCATAGCCTCATATACAACTACAAGGCTAGTCATAGGAAGCTTCAGGCTCAGCTCCAGGCTCAGCTCCAGTTTGATTTTTCTATGCTCTGTGACCAAAGTATGCTGTCATCTGCAGTAGGGACTTACCATCAAGTTCTGGTGGGCAACCAAGAGGAATGGCAATAACCTGCATTACTTGGGAGACCCCAGGGATGTCCCTGACTAGTAACTCATAGGGATGTATCCCCCACATGCACTAGAATTTATCTTTAGTCATCTCTGTCTTCTGGGAGGAGCTCTATCCATCCATGGAGTGAACCAACTTTCAAACTTTTCATTTTGTTGTATTTTGATAAGCTTATAAAACAGTAGGTTTCCAAATGGGCTTCTCATAGGTCCTTGGTTTTGGTTATCTCTCTCCTCTTCTTATCGTATGAACCCCTCACCCACTAGGCCTTTCTGCCCTCAGTAGTCCCCTACCCCATTTACATGTATGATGTATTCTAATATCAGCCCTATCTAATGATCTCTTTATATCTTTATGGATTTACAAAAAGTCGAAATTAAAGGTATTATTATAAAACTTGGTAGGTAGAACCTGCGTATAAGGTATAACATGTGGTATTTGTCCTTCTGCACCTGGGTTACCTCATTAAGTATAATATTTTCCATATCCGTTAATTTCCTGGCAAATTTCAAAAAGCCGCTTTTCTTTATCACTGAAGAAGATTTCATTGTATGTACATACCAGATCTTAATTAACCATTAGTTTATTGATAATAATCTAGGCTGATTCCATTTCCTTGCTACAGTGAACAGAGTCAACGAACATGGAAGTAATGTTATCACTGCTGTAAGGTATATAGTCTTTTAGGTACATGGCCAGGTATAGCTGATTTATTTGGCAGTGTTATTTTAACTTTCTGAGTAACCTCCACATTGATTATCCCATTTTTCTTATTGGGAAGATACCTACCCCACAAGTCATTTTTATTATATATCTCATATAATGATTTTATTTACATCATCAAGGCCTTTAATCACAGAAAGGAAACTAATGTATTTACAAACACAAGGGTAATATGGTTATCTATGTCCATTAGAAATATTTTCTGTGATATGGATTTTGTGTTCTTTTCTATAATATGTATTTTGTTTTGGTGAAAGAAATAAAACATGAATATAAAAGGACTAAATTAATGGTATTCTTACCTCATTGAAAAATGTGTTCCTGGCTGGGGAGATGGCTCAGCTGTTAAGAACACTGGCTGCTCTTTCAGAGGACCTGGGTTTGATTCCCAGAACCCACATGGTGACTAACAACCATCTGTAACTTCAGCTCCAGGGGACCACATGCCTTCTTCTGACCTCCACTGGCAATTCATGATACAAGTGCACTCACATACATGGAGGCAATACACTCATACAGATAAAATAAAAATAATAAACAAAATAGTTTTTAAAAATGGGCTCTGGAGGGATGGCTCAGCAGTTAAGACCATGAACTGCTCTGGCAGAAGATCCAGGTTCAATTCCCAGCACCCACATGATGGCCAACAACCTTCTGTAACTCCGGTTCCAGGAAATCCGACACCTTCTTCTGACCTCAGTGGGCATTGCTCCACATGGGTGCACTTACACACATGCAGACAATACACTCATACACGTAAACTTAAAATAATAAAATAAATAGTATTTATTTTAAAAAGAAAAAAATGTGTTCAATTCATGTCATTTCATATTATTAAATATATAATAAATGACAGTAAAATATTTTTATACTTTATTACATGTAAATATTTGGAGGAAGATTCTGATTCTAGGATTTTCATGTATCAGGATTGGGAAAACATGCTCTGGGTACATTCTTAAAATGACAGAGGTTTTCAATAGTAATCCTTTTCTCCAAGAAATACTTAAGCAGGCAGGAATTATCTGCACATCTGCCTGAATATAGCACGCAGCTCCACATCTCCATATTTCCTCTTCCCCAAAGATTTCAGCTCAGCTCCTGTGGCAGCTGAGTATCCGCAGCACCCACTCTTGCATCTGTTTGGTTCTTACTGCATAGATCAAGGGGTTGGCCATGGGAGGCACCAGAAAATATAAATTGTCAATTATGATCTGTAAATAGGGAGCCATATGGTACCCTAACATCTGGGACAAGACAGAAAAGACAACAGGAGAGTAGAACAGCCCAATGACACAAAGATGAGAGCCACAAGTGCTAAGAGCTTTGCCCCGGGCTTCCCAGGATGGAATACGAAAGACAGCACGAAGGATAATGGTATATGACACAATGATCAAAACCAGATCAATTCCCACAGATGCCACAATAACCATGAGACCATAGACGATGTGGCTGGAGATGTCTCCACATGCGATCATCACCACAGCCATGTAGGCACAGTAGGAGTAAGCGATGACTTGGGTTTGGAAGCTTTCCAGTCTTTTTGCCAGGATGGGTGCTGGAGTCAACACTGTCACTGCCCGCACCAGGATAGCTGTTGCCATTTTCACAAGCGTGCTGCTGTCAAGGATGGTTGTATACCTCAGAGGGTACCAGATAGCCACAAATCTGTCAAAGGCCATGGCCAAGAGGATCCCAGACTCCATAACATAAAAGAGAGGAATGAAAAACATCTGTGTGAGGCAGGCATCAAAGCTGATTTCTTTGGCATTCATCCAGAAGATTCCTAACATACGGGGCACAGTGGCACTAACCAGGCACAAGTCAACAACTGATAGCATGGCCAAGAGGAGAAACATGGGCTCATGGAGACTCTTCTCAAGACAAACGATATTGAAGATGGTGACATTGCCTATGAGGGTAATAATAAATATCAAGAAGAAAGGCACAGAGAACCAACCATGGGCAGATTCCAGTCCAGGGATTCCAGCCAGGATGAATATCAAAGGTTGAGTGATAGAGTTGTTGCAGGAGGACATTGTTATAGGAGCTCTTCAGGGTCCGATTCTAAGAAGAACAATAAATGTATATTATGAAACTCCTATATTCTTCACACTTACAGAATGGTGGTCGACACAGTAGTTTATGATAATAATGTGATTCTCACATGTAAATTAATGATCAAATGAACACTTGTGCTACTTGGCGTAGGATTTGGGATTCTGTACTATTTTCTCTCTCTTTGAAAAAAGCCTTCTGAAGAATGAATTTTCACTAAAAGCACACCAATTCCACAGTAAAGATTGTTATGTTGCTCTGATATTTAATACTCAACCATTAGAATCCTTTCACATTACTGCTTAGATTAGAAGGATAAAGCAGGAAGTGTCTTCAACATTATAGGCAGGTTGTGTGAGTTTGAACACACTAGTAGTTAAGGTGCTCATTAAAGGAAGCTGAATTTAATTACCCCTCTGTCTATTTAGGGAACTAGAATTGAAGCTTTAAAATTCTTCCATGGAACATTTAGATACAAATAGCTGATGTACAAAAGAGCTAGGAAATCTGTTGAAACCGCGTGTGAAAAGCAAACTGGTGACTTTGGAGGAATAATGGATGTCTTGAATGACAGGCGTGAAATCTCAAAAATCCTGAATAGACAATAATTTAGTATTTTCAGATTGTTCAGTAAAGCATAGTCAGAGAGTGAGTAAATGTCTTGGGAAATTTATGTTTTTCTGTAAGATACATTTATATATTAAGAAAATAATTAGGGATTAATTATAAATATTTCCAGAGAAACAAGGCTTTATTATGTTATTGAATATTTTATGTGATGTATTTATAGAAATGTTTAAAGATTTTCCTTTCACTAAATGGAAGTCATAAATGTATATTTAATATGTTAAAATGGATATAATGTGTATAGAATATAAATAAGAATATAGTAAATCTTTAAAAAAATACAATTATATTTAATTTTCACTGTTAAAGTTTAGACTTCATAATTTTATTAAAACTTTCCAACTATACTGTAGTTATAAATATTTCAGAAAAAGAAATGTTAATAGAAGTTTAATATCGGGGACTAAAGCTGATGTTCCAAAGTTACTATACATAGAAATATAATAATAACAATATTAGGTCATAATAATTTCCTTTTGTTCTCAATTAACTTGGATTATTATGGATTTTTAAGGTTATATCTGTATCAACTTAATTCTATGTCCCAATTTAACATGTTTCCAAATTAATTCTAAGTCCAATGACTTGGTTTTTGTTGCTGTTAATCTTTAGTTTTTTTGTTTGTTTATTTTTTGTTGAGATAGGGTCTTCCTTCATAGCCTAGTTTGACCTCAAACTCACCATGTTTGACTGCTGTAGCTGTTCTCATGTTCATGATCCTCCTGCCTCCCCTCATGAGTTCTGGGATTAGAGACATGGGTCACCACACCTGCCCCTCATCAAGTTACTTCTTTTTCTTTATTTTCTCATGTTTGTATTGATTCATTGAGAATATTGTATTCAGATCTCCTCCCTTATGTAGAGTTCAACTCTACTACCATACCCTGAATTCATGTCCTTTATTATTATTATTTTTCAAAGGCCAATTGAGTATACTTTGTGTTATTCAAACGCTCTTGGTTGTGGGTCCATTCCCTAGGTTCTGGAAAACCTTCCAGATATTACACCCTTAAAGGAAACTGACTCCTCTCCCAGCAGCTGTGAAGTGCCAGTAGATCCTCAGCTAGGAATGGGGCTTCTTGACCACCTTCACCATCCAAGGTGGATTTTTGACTTGGGATTGCAAAGGTCTTGTGTATTCTGCCACAACTGCCATGGGTTCATACAGGCAATGAATCTGTGGTGTCCATGTAGCACACATTTAGGAATGAACACTCCATAGTTGCTTACTCTCTACATTGGACCAGTTGTGAGAAGAATTGCACTTTTATTTCAACAATAGCCAAAAATTTAAAGCAAAAATTTCAAACCAAACAAATAAGCTTATTCTTGGATTATATAATTCATGAATAGAGTTTTTGGTAATTAAACCATTCTAAATAGTAAGAGCATAAAACGGTTGGTTAGTGCCCAAATACTACTGCAGCATTTATACATACTGTATTGATGGGTTCAGTCACAAGTATTTCACATTTCAATTGCTTTTGGTCAAAGCCACACTAGAGCTTAACAATAGGGGAGTCTCCTGGAAAGTAACTCAGCAGAGAAGAAGTGTGAAAGCCTTTGAAATGACACCTGTATAAGATTAAGACACAGTTTCAGAACAGAAGTGTGATCTATGTGATTTGATCATATTTTAAAGCTTCGAATTTCTTTTTCTCATGTCAAAAATTAAATGAGCCCTGTAACACAAAACTGGTAGCAAGGTTTAAATCCATTATTGGATTCCAGTGTGTATACAATATGTATGTTCCTAGCATGATTCTTGAAAAGCTATTGATGTCCTAAAACTGCAAATTTTCTTGTTTTTCAATGAAATGCCAATTTGAAATAAGATGTAAAGTTAGCATTGTATTCTATATTTATTATTTATGAAAAAATGTGATGAAGATAATGAATAATTTTGAACCGACATCATAAACAAAATTGTTCCTAATCCTGCTACTCTTGTCCTATTAATATTTTATTAAGCTCATTTTATGCTTAAGAGAAAATATTTAGTGCCACTGTACCAAGTTATCTGGGCAAATAAAAGGTGATGAATTTAAAATAGGCAGTTCATTCTCTATACTACAGGATCCTATCACATTCAGCCACCTTGCAGCAGAATCAAGACCTTGCAAAACTAGAAGTCCAACATCTCCTGGAGATTTTGTGTAATCATCTAACAGGAATACTATGGAATAAATCACCCACAAGGCATTGACATTGAGATGATATTGGGATTTTAAGTAATCAAGGCTTTATCTGCATTACTATGAATAAGTGGGAATAATTATGTGAATATTAATATAAACACATAATCAGTTCAGGAATAAACACTTGGATGATAGGTTTTCAAAAGACTGTTGTTGGATCATTCTAAAAATTCAGAAACCTTTGTTGCCTTTATGTATTTTGTGATTTGCACTTGAAAATATTTCAAAATCTGTTCTTTCTAGAGAGCCCTGAGTTCGAGGACACTCTCATTATTTCCCCCTCCTGTGTCCCTTTTCCTGGAGTCCTACCTGATGACAGCTACAGATCTTGTCACAGTGGGTCCTGGAGTGTTACAGCCCACTTGGGGTATGAGGATGATGTGTTTCACTCCAATATGAGATGGAGTGTTTGAGATTGAGACAGATTTAAGTTAGTTTGTTTATCCTCCCTAGGTCCCAAGTGACCTTGTCTCATACCCAAAGTGCTATTCTTAGCTTGGATATTCTGGGAAACACAACGTAGAGTGAGTCACTGATGGCAGCATAGAGACAATAGAAGCACAGGGCTCACTGGGGGCAAATCATGGGCATCAGGAAGATGGGGATCAAGAACTCCAGAGAGAGAGGCAGGAGGAGGGCAATCAAACTGCAAATCAAAGGAAGCTGGAGGCATGGGAAGGGAGAATCCCATTCAAGATAGCATGGTGCGTAGCTGCAATCATACATAATTGGTTCAGTTTCAAAATCAATAGTTGATGTTATATTAATTTCTAACCATTTACACCCTTCCATAAATAAATCAAAAATGGAAATTAATGCCCTTAACCCCTTAGTTGGAATTGAAGCCCACACATACCTACAAAAAAGTGTAGAACAAATAAAATTTAGGTTGATTAACTTAAGATCATTTGGGGCATAAATAAGTAAAAGAAAAGAGTTGGTGGAAATAAGAGAAATGCTAGGCTGTAGATAATCATAGTGGGTAATGCTTAGGAGAGACCGAGTTTTAGAAAGACTCAACCAAAAAGGTAAAATTGCAGATATGCCTAAAAGGGAAAGAACAAAAAACCTGTTAGAACCCTTTTGTTACAGAAAGTGATAGAGTGAAAATATTCTGAGGAGAATGATTAAGGTTCTTAGTGTTCATTTTTATACCCCTAGTGCTTGGCCAGAGGGAGGACTTCACTATGCATATGTGTGTGTGCATGTGTGTGTATGTGTGTTTATGTGCGTGTGTGTATATGTGTGTGCATGAGTGTATATATATGATGCACCGCTGCAGGCAGTTGTTAACCACCACGTGGGTGCTGAGAACCAAATTTGGGTCGTCTCTCTGGAAGAGAAGCAAGTGATATGAATCACTCAGTAATCCCTCAGCCTCCAATCATCCACTCTGTACTGTAGGCCTAGAAAAATGGTTCACGGTGGAGTGACAGTCATGTGAAATGTGAATTTACCAGAATCTTCATTGAGCTGTGCTTCACAAGCTAAAGTTTATTCAAGATGCTCAAGCTGATATAATTCTTTCTTTGGTGGTCATTCAAAACCTGGATCAAGTTATCATCTTTCTGGTCAGTAAAAAGTTTTCTATAGAGCTGGGCATGGTGGTGCACGCCTGCAGTTCCAGCACTTGGGAGGCAGAGGCAGGAGGATCTCTGTGAGTTCAAGGCTAGCCTGGTCTACATAGTGAGTTACGAGACAGCTGGGGCTACAGGGAGACCCTGTTTCAAAAAGACAAAAAAAGTTTTTTATAGGGAATACTTCATTTCTTTCACATACTTTTTCCTTCTTATATCAATATACCACTTATTTTAATTTTAAATAGTCTGATATCCATCTTGAAGAAAGACAGGGTTGGGAATGGAGACATAGCCCAGCGGTTAAGAGCACTAGCTGCTCTTACAGAAGACCTGGGTTTGATACCCAGCACCCACTTGGTGGCTAACAACCGTCTGTATCTTCAGTTCCAGGGCATCCCATGCCTTCTGGCCTCTGAAGGCACTGCATGCACATGAAGTACTTATTTACATACAACCAAACACTCATGCACATAAAAATGTTAACAAAATGAAATATATACAGGGAATATTGATAAATATGGATAATTAAAAGTAAAAACATTCCAGGTTGTATGTGTGGTGCTCTCCTTTTATCCC